ATGGATTTTGGCCGATTTGGGGCATCGAAACGAAAAAATTGCGGAAAAAAATAATTTTTGATTTATCGAACTTAAAACGATATTTTTGTAACTAGTGCCTGTAGGGCTTCATTCTGGGCGAGTTTGAAGAAATTCGATTTTTTCGCTATTTCGAAGTCTAGTTGATATTTAGGCGAAGCTGCCCTTAAGACAATCACAAAATTATTTGAATCGCTTCGCTCGGTTTAATTTTTTGTTGTAAAACGTCGATCCAGAACAGTTTTGTCCAGTGCACTAATTGTGGACAATCAAATAAAACGAAGAAAATAAATAAATAAATAAATAAATAAATAAATAAATAAATAAATAAATAAATAAATGAACAAGAGATATAAATTGGTACACATATGTCAAAATTGTTCTAAGATAAGACCGTAAAACGATGGAACGGAACTTGTTAATCTATTTACAATCACGATAAGGGTATTTGTGACTATATGTATATAAATTTATCAAGTAGTGCATATAATACACGTTGTGCACGTACGTGCCCTCAATTAAAACAGTAAGGTCTCTTTGACTAATATTATTTTTAGAATTGTTTTATGTCGATCGCTGCCTATCCTGACTACTGAAAAACAGTCTTACTTGGACGTTATTACGTATACAAAGAATGTGTGGGCACGTTGCACATAATTGCCACGCATTTTCTTGGCTAGTAGTAATTCAAACCGAAGACAAATTCGTAGTTTTAATGCCGGTCATTACAAGGATACTATCCACCAGATATTAGATCGAGTGGTCTAACATTCGAGCTGTACGTATCGTTTAATTATTTCATAAAGTATTTAATTTAATTGATTTCCATCTTGTTTGTTCAATTATTCATCCGACCTGGCCTCGATATGCTTTTTGCAATTTATCAACAGTCCCATTCAGGCCAGGTTTCACCATAGTTGAGACTGTTGAGAATTCCTACTCTAACAAGTGATTGACAATGTTACAAACATGTTAAGCGTGCATCATTCGTTAAAAGGTTTCTTATAAAAGAGTCAATCACAACGATGAATATTTTCATCGAGAAAGCACCCTCGTTTTATAAAAACTGTGTAGAGGCGATAAAAACGCTAAACATTTTCAACAAATGATAAAAGTTGCAAGTGTTCGATTTTACCTTGGTTGACGAAAAAGTCTGCAAAGTACTGTCCAGCAAGAATGGCATGCTGAGTGTGCTTGATGTCTTTCACCGCCGACCACTCAAACTGAGGTTTCGCTGGATGCCACTGGAACATGTAAATAGGATATTTTCTTGCTGTGGAAGATCAACAATGTTAAAACTTAACACAACATGGATTTTCTTTCTCAAAATGTATTTACTTTCCACAAATTTACACCATTGTTTCTTAAAACAAATGTGTCGGACCAACAACATAATTTAAATATTCAATTTAGGCCCCTTTTACACGGGTCCGGACAAAATTTTTGCAAGGACAAAAACTTGCACGGTTCCACCATGCGTTTACACGGGACCGGCGAAACTGTACGAATTTTTGAACGGCTAGGTGTGCAAGTTTGGGACCTGAAAAAAGCAGGTCAACTTTTTGACCAGCACGATTCTACGTTTCGTACGGACTCATGTAAACACCGGAACCGTGCAACTCTTTGCTCAGATAGCGCGGTTAAGGCGTGGAATCTAATTACCTTTTGCCTGGTTGCTTAGCAAAAATGAAACATTTTGTTACATTTTGTCCCTGGTTTGTTACATTTTGTTAAATTGAAGACAAAAGAAACAAACAAAAGCAGGTTACAGATATGAGGAGACGAGCGGCAGCAACAGGCATCGTTATTTTAGCCGGATTAGCTGGGCTTTTGCGGTACACGTTGCTGCAAATGGCTATTGTTTCCGATCTTCATCGATCGAGGCAACTTACACGTTTGAATTTCTTGGTGAGCATGTAAAGCTTACGAAACAACCAAACGAGGAAAAAGTCTATAACTACATGTAGCAACAAATTAATTTCTTCATCAGACCACGTAAAGTTTTTGTCTGCCGCCATGTTTGATTTGGGCGTACTGCATCAGCTGCAACATGATTGGCTTAAAACATTAGCGATAACCAATCACAACAGAGACGTAAAAAGCCATTCAAATGCCGCGACTAATGTAAAACTTGCACGGATCCTTGTAAACACCACTGCAATCTGAAACAGAATTTGCACGGTTCGATGTAAACAGACAGTCTAGGAACAAAATTCGTCCGTACAAAAATTTGTCCGGACCCGTGTAAACGGGGCCTAAGTGTGCAAGTTTGGGACCTGAAAAAAGCAGGTCAACTTTTTGACCGGCACGGTTCCATATTTCGTACAGACTCTTGTAAACACCTGAACCGTGCAACTTTTTGCTCAGATAGCGCGGTTAAGGCCTGGAATCTAGTTATGTTTTGCCTGGTTGCTTAGCAAAAATGAAACATTTTAATACATTTTGTTAAATTTAGTTTAACTTGATCCTTTTTAGTTTGTTTTGGATTCGGTCTTTGTTGAAGCTTCCTGACGCTTCGGTACGTCGGGGGAATTTCTCCTTGTCGTTATCAGGGTACTTTTCCAAAAACATTTTGGTTACGTCTTCGTTCTTGCTCCTTACAGTTTCCCAATCAACTCTTTCCCCTGCTTTTCCTGCTTTGTAGTCTATAACTACATGTAGCAACAAATTAATTTCTTCATCAGACCACGATAAGTTTTTGTTTGCCGCCATGTTTGATTTGCCGCGTAATGCATCAGCTGCAACATGATTGGCTTAAAAAATAGCGATAACCAATCACAACAGAGACGCAAAAAAGCCATTCAAATACGACTGGTCTAAAATTTGACCGCGAATGGTCTAAAATTTGCACGGATCCGTGTAAACACCACTGCAATCCGTAACAGAATTTGCACGGATCCATGTAAACAGGCGATCCAGTCTGTGCAAAAATTTGTCCGGACCCGTGTAAACGGGGTCTTAGTATATACCAGACCGGTAGATAGTGTTTTTCACGCATTCTGATTGGCTACTCGAATTCAGAATAGTGTTTGCTATCCCTCTACCAACTTTCAGTAAATGTTTAAGAAAAGAAAAAAGTAAATAAAAAAAAGAAAACAAATAAGCAAAAAAAAGTCCCGGTCTTACTAAGATTTGAACCCATAGCCCCCCGTTGTAAGAAAGATACCCACTCCACTGTGCTACACTGACAGTTATATATGTCATGGAGAAAATGTTGATTAAATCGGTTTGTATGGGAGCGCCGGGTAGTTAAAACAGCAGGCTCAAGTACGTTCCTAGCGCGAACCGACAAGTCATGCGAAAGTATTACCAAACTCCTTGAAAAGGGAAGAAAAAAAAGAAAGAAAGAAAGAAATCATAATAACTTGGGGTATTACCCAATCAATCAGGAATCCCGCCGAATAGGACTTAACTTTGTTGATCTGACAAAACACCGTTCTGTCCTGATGGTATGGCGATTCCACGCTGAACACAGGTCTTTATTTCTAAGATCATTCAAAGGATATATAACAAAGAAAAAAACTTCGAAGACTACACCTGGAATTGAGACCTCAGATCCTACATAGTAGGATCGTAAATGCCTAACTGAAGATCAATTAAGATTTCATCAAAGTTATATATACACAACCTCATATCGATGGAGCGGTCAAACTCTCGCAATGGATGGTCTAAGCCGAAGACAAAGAAGCCGTCAGCACAGAGAGTAAATGCAAGGCAAGCAAAATCAATGATATTGGCAGTAAATGAACAATGAAATGAAAAATGGGAAAGATAATGAGATTTTTGATACTTGCTTTGGTAATTGGACAAGAAGCGGTAGTTTAATTTAATCATTTATTATTCATTTTTTTCACAAATTTTCTACCCGTTTGGGTTATTTTGGGGTTTGATTTTTTTTATTAAACAACAATATTTCAGCCCAGGCGTGTTTCTCTATTGATTGATATGAAATAATTAGTTTATCGTAAAAAACGATAATTGCAAGTACATTACAGTACATTTTTTCCAAGATGGCATGCGCGTTAACGAATCCTGTTATCTGACCTATATCTCTGACCACGGTCACGGTATCGCTTTCACAGCGGGTGAAAATGGCCGTAATCGTCATCCTTTGCCCTTTTTACACTTCCGTCGACGATTAATCTACACAAATTTATCTACATTCACTTTAAAATGGCAAGGAAAGTCACTCTAAGTAAATTCAAACGAGTGTTTTATTTGAGAGAGTTGTTTGGTTGTTTGTAGCTCGGTTCTGTAATGGCGCGTAATGTGTTTCTGTCGACCTACAATTTTAAGTAAAAAATTGGTCAATTATTGTCTAGTTTACCTCTTCGATCATTGGTGTATTTGAGAGAATTTCTGCGGAAGACCCTCAATGAGTTTCCTCGCTTTCTGCTATTAAATTTATGGTATAAAAGTTTAATTTCAAGTGATTCGCAGCAACTGACAGAAAGTGTTTTCGTAGTACAACTTTAAACTTTGCATAAAATATCAACCCGGAAAAACAAATATGTAGAACTTAAATGGTGAACTAATCGCAGTAAATATTAATTTGAAAAAAAGGTATCTGTTCTTTAATACATACTTTTGTGTCTGATATCTAGTTAGTCGTTGCGAAGATTTTTACGAATCCTTTGTAGACGGCACGTAAACCGATTCAGAGACACAGTGGCGCAAACATACTCACTTGTAAGCCATTTTACCACAGGAAAAAATAAATATGTTAACCTTAGGCTTGAAAATGCTGCACGAGGCCTGCCTCGGGCAGGATTTTAAAGACCTCGGTCGCCGTTTTTCACAACACGGACCTCCCAACCGGCAAATAACATATATGTACTGAGCACGTAAACATAGTATACAAGTTAAAGGAAGCTTTGACAAAACAAGAATAGTGAAACAATAAAATAGTGATACATGTCAATAGCACGACTCAACAACAACGACAACAACAACAACAACAAGAATGATCACTATATTCTCATTGACATTTTCATTGAGCATAGATCTGTCTGTCACGGTCGGTCTGGCAATCTCGTTTGATTTTGCGAATACTGCAATTTTAAGCGCTCTCTCATAGACGACAGACTAATTTCCCCAGAACAAAAATCACATCAGTTAAAAGCCAATCCCTAAAGGAGTTTGATCTCTAAATTTCGTTTAATTTGTAATAAAGGTAGTAGGGAAAATGTTTTTTTTTTCAAGTTAGGTAGCGATTTTCATAGAGAAACATGGGGATTTCTTTCAAATCTCGCACAATGTCAGAATATCATAGAAATTACATTATAAAACTTGGAAAAGTTGTAGAATAAGCTGATTGCATGTGGATATCTTCTGGATTTATACTTAAGGCATGCAGTTTTGCGGTTTTAAGGCGCAAAAAAATCAAGAAAACCGAAAAGCTTAAAGACGTAGGTGACTTTCTCGTAATTTTGATTTCTACGCATGCTCGAGCAAAAATGTCGTACTGAAACGCGATGCTAGTGGAAAGAAAGGCATGCTGACATGTTGCAAATGCCTTTTCGAGTAGCTTGCAGCTTATTATTTGGCCCCATATCCAGGCTGAAAATGTCCAAAATGTCCAAAACCTGCATTTTTGGCTAAAAGGTCCGGGAGTCAATGGGTTAATTCACAAAAAAATAACTCTTGCACGCTTAGCGTGCCTACGTTTGTTTCATGTGTTTCGCTTTAGCAGATATGTAGATGAAAGCTGAGAAAGGTATTTATGATTGTGATCATGTATCAGTCACAACAGCGCGACCGGCGAGGACAAAGCATTGATACAAGACAAAGTTAGAAAGTGAGATCGTGTTTAGCAGACGTCGATATTAGGCTCATAGCTTTTTTTTGGCTAGAGAATTTGATGGTTTCCACTCGCTTTCTCCATGCTTTTTGTAGAGTCCAAGGCAAGCCTAAGTTCTTGTTAAGATTTGGCTTCATTGCTTCTGTATTGTATTGTTTTTTATTTACACATTGAAATTCGGCGGTGCTCATATCGGAAGTTCGAAACCCGTGATTTAATTTGTATTTTAAAGCTAACTTCAAGCCGCAAAAAATTCCAATTGTTTTATCTTTCAATTTTGTTGCTCACACTACAGTTCTTCTCTATTCTGTGCAGTTCGACCAGAGTGACCATTTATTCACGGATGGTATAGAAGTCAGCATCCATGATCGAGTAAATATACTCTAAAATTTGAGTGATGGATATTGACAAGTTAACATCCAAAAGACTGTGTATACCTACTTTTTGCGAGAGAGAATTACTGTCCAGTCATG